TCCAGCTCAGCATCAGAAGCTTGGCCAACAGAGGCAGAATTAGAATCAAGTGTATCAACGGCACTGGACTGATGAGCCCGAGAATAGGAACCACGTCCTCTAGACTGGCCGAACCGACCTTCTCGAGAACCAAACCGATCACCTCGACTCCCGGATGGAGTCCCATGAAGCTTCCAACACGTCTCACGAGTATGCCGCGGCTTCTTGCAATAAGCAGACGGAGGAATGGGAGTTAGGCTGAGGCCATCCCGAGGAGTAGACAGTAATGCTGAGCGATCAGTAGAGACAGGGGACATCATAGCAGACCGGCGACTCCCCTCATTCTGTACATAGGCAAATGCCTCCTGAAGTGAAGGAAGAGTGTCCATACCCAGAACTCGACCCCTAACTGGATCATACTCCACATTTAGGTCTGCTAGAAATTTAAATACCCATTCCTGTGCGATGAACTTCTTGTACCCGACAGAATCAGCAGGGCAAACATGCTTATAGTCTTGCAGGTGGTCAAGGCGTTTCTAGCCGTTAGTGAGGAAAGTGAAGTACTGAAGAACAGTCTGCTCCCCCTGAAGTGAGCTCTCAATAAAGCAGCGCAACTCAAATGCCTGTGAGAAATTCCCTTTGCGGGAATAGGTGGCAGCCACAGCATCCCAAACATCCTGGGCAGTCTCCATAGACAAGTAACCCTCACCAAGTTCTGGAACCATCGGATGGATAAGCCAACCCATAATCAAAGAGTTGGTAATCTCCCATTGGTCATAACCCGAGTCAGTGGTACTAGGTGCCTGTATCCTGCCATCAATATACCCCATCTTCCCTCTACTCTTCAAAAACATAGTCAAACTTTGAGACCATTCTAGGTAGTTTTGACCATTAAATAGAGAGATGGTGATTTTCAGACTAGGGTTGGGGTTCTTAGTCATGGTAGTAGGTATAATAGGATTCTCACTCCTCGGTGTTTGAGAAGAAGGGGACACACTGGTGGAATCTGTCATGGATACTATACTACACCAAACCCGCAACAAAACTAGTGGCAATCACAAACCCGGAAGGTGGTGGTGAAAGAACAGGCACAACGACCACTATAAAGGCATAACAAAATTAAGAAACCATTTTCATTTTTTTTTTTATTTTTTGTTTTTTGTTTTTTTTTGTTTGTTTGTTTGTTTTGTTTTGTTTGTTTGTTTTTTTATTTTATTTATAGATTTATTTATTTATTTATATATGTATTGGTACGGTTTTATACACAACATAGGTTATATCATACCAACAGGGATGAGAGTATGAGAGTATACCAGTGAGAGTATGAGACTATACCAGTGAGATCGACGATCGACGAAGGCGACAGAGGAGAAGACGAGCGACGAAGACAAGCGACGAGCTGACGAGAGTGATGAAGATGAGCGACAAACTGACGAGCAGAGAAGGAGATCGCCGAACTGCTGGAGGAGATCGACGAGCTGAGAAGATTGACGAGCTGAGGACGACTGAGTGACGAAGGCGACAGGAAGGCGGCTGAGTGACGATCGACTGAGAGACGGCTGAGTGACGACGGCGATTGAGGATGAAGACGAAGCAGAGATCGACGAGCTAAATATCGACCCAGCAGATGATCCACCTAGGTAAGTTTCGAACCCTAGAGTGAGGGTGTGCCGAAACCCTAGAGGTTCTACTTTGATACCATGAAGCTTGAGTAACCAGCTTAGGGTTTGATAGGATATCATCCCCTATTTATAAATGAAGATTAGGGTTTACAAAATGAGACAATTACAAGATAAGCCCTGAGGGCATAGTACAATAACAAACCAATAACTCAAATAATAATATAATATGCTATGCTAACAGAAACTTCATCATACTCCTGCTCTATGTTGATGACATGTTGATCATTGGACAGGATCCCACAGTAATCAGATCATTGAAAAAGGAGTTATCACAGTCCTTTGACATGAAGGATCTAGGCCCTGCACAGCAAATTTTGGGCATGACAATTGTGCATGACAAGAAAGCCAAGAAGTTGTGGCTGTCACAGAAGAAGTACGTTGAACGGGTGATTGAGAAGTTCAACATGAAAGATGCCAAGCCAGTTAGTACTCCGCTAGCTAATCATTTCAAGTTGAGTAAGAGTTCTTGTCCCTCCTCTACAAAAGAAAGAGAAGAGATGGAGGTTATTCCCTACTCATCCGCCGTAGGGAGTTTGATGTATGCAATGGTGTCCACCCGACCAGATATTGCTCATGCTATTGGAGTAGTAAGCAGATTCCTTTCCAATCCAGGAAAAGAGCATTGGGAAGCAGTCAAGTGGATTCTGAGGTACCTTAAGGGTACATCTAAAATGTGTTTGTGCTTTGGAGGAGCTAAACCAGTCTTGGAAGGCTATACTGATTCAGATATAGCGGGAGATCTTGATGGTATAAAATTTACATCAGGATTTCTGTTCACTTTCGCAGGGGGAGCTGTGTCTTGGCAGTCCAAGCTGCAGAAATGTGTTGCTTTATCCACAACCGAGGCAAAGTATATTGCCGTAGCGGAAGCTGGGAAAGAGATGTTATGGTTGAAGCGGTTTCTCCAAGAGTTGAGATTAAAGCAAGAAAAGTTCACAGTACATTGTGATAGCTAGAGTGCCATAGACCTGAGCAAGAATTCAATGTATCATTCTCGCACGAAGCACATTGATGTTCGGTATCATTGGATACGCGAAGTGATGGAAAAGTAGTTATTGGAACTGATCAAGATCCACACAGATAAGAATCCAGCTGACATGCTTACAAAGGTGGTCTCGAAAGATAAACTCGAAATTTGCAGAGACATTGCAGGGATGGACTTCAAGTGGGAAGTCAGTTATGCATGTGGGTATGGAGGGGGAGAATTGTTGTTCCAACCCCATGCATGCATGCACAGTCAAGGCGAATGGCATAGGAAGACCTCCACTGGAAGTGAAAGTCTATGCTGGGCATATCTGCAAGCTTCTCCCTTCTCTTAACGTTGTTGGCATTGTTGACACTCACTCTCACCATTAAAGAATGTAGAAAATTGTGTGGATTTGTCTCCTCTCTCTCTCTCTCACTCTCACTTTCTTTGTGTATAAATAGAGACGGGAGGGAGAGGGCGATTTGTATCAAAAAATAGAGAGAGAGAGAGCTGTGAGTTGAGTGAGAATTTTTATCTCCTCGTCTGTATTTGTATTTTGCTCCATTTTAGTGAAATTCTCTTTTCTGCTCCGTGGATGTAGGCATTGGGCCGAACCACGTAAATATTGTTTCTATGTGTGTGTGAGATAATTTTCTGGGTGTATTTGATCCTAACAGTGGTGGCCCCAAGACTTGAATCCATAACCTCAAGGTTATTAGGCCAAGTCTTAACCATTGAACCAATACCAGAAACCAGTAGCAATACCAAGAATAAATAAGCAGGGCAGTGTCGACACCCTGAAAGGTTGATATTGACACCAGAAAGCATAACCAACAAGAAAGATAGGGCGAACAGCTGTTGTCGACCCTCCAGGAGCGCAGTGTCAACACCAAAACAGAAATTCTAAGTTCCCATCTTTTCGACAAAACAAAGCGCGAGCGAACAATCCTAACAAGTCTAAATCAAATTTTGACTCCACCAAAACAATGAGACAACAACCCAAAGATCTAAATGATAAAAGAAAAGGAAATTAAATACACTCTCCAATGACTTAAAGAACACAAGTGCTACAATAACACTTAATAATTTAAGGAAATAAGATTAAAAATTTACAAAGTTATTGTTGGATTATGGCCCCTCTGCCCTCCATTGGGTAAATCTACAAACTAAAACTAAAACTAAAACTAAAGAAGGATAAGAACATGTACAGAAAAAGGAACAGAAAAGAAACATTAACCACCTCCCTTAATGAATATTCTATTTTTACTGTTCAAGCAATCCCATTACTGAATTTAAGGGCCATAATTTGGATAAAAATCTCACAATTAACATCAAAGGTAAGTTATAAATTTTATAGAAGAATAACAATGGTATGTCAACATTACAAAGACTACATTAAATTCCTAATCATAAATTACTTTAGCTTGATTAGCATTTGGACATTTAAGAAAATTGGATGAGAACATACTGTACCAGCTGTGAAATTGCATTAAAAAAACCTTTTACTTGAAACATTGCTGAAATTGTTAACGCAAAAGCATTCAAAGGCTTAGCAAGTCCACCAATAGCTTGGCTCGGGCAACAAGTTTGATCAATTTAATATGATTTTACTACCTGCATATTCCTTTCTTGTATTTATTGAGGTCCTAGCTTTTCCACTAGTCCTGTAATCATAGTATTTTTTTTTTCTTGGTAAACTTATAATGCAATCTGATACAAATATTGAAGTACTACCAAGCCGTTCAATCATAAAATGGGTGTTTTGCAAATATACATAAATTTGACTGCCCTAGTAACAATAATTTATTGGCAAAAAGTGCACAAGATGAGTTCGCAAGTGGACAACCATAATATAAACAGAATATTTGAATAATGCCACCATATCAATATTAAAAAGAAATCTAATTACTGGCCTTAATCCTTAACTTTTTTCCATTGTAATATTTTACAAGTTTCATTTTCTTGTTGTTCTGATAATAAGAAAAAACCAAGGAAAATGACTGCCACTCATTGATCTAATCGAGTCAAGTGATAGATAAAACTGGGGGCGACGGTGATGAAGGCATGCAAACAATTAACTCAGTAAATATTAGTTAAACAAAGAAGAATGGAGGCTAAGACAGAAGCATCAGCAACAACAAAATCTAGATTATTCCTAGTTTAGAATTTACAAATGAGAATCAACCCGAGCAGAGAAGTTGTTCATGATTAATCTAATCTCTAGACATAAATCTCCATACAACAAACACAACTTGTAATCCATCAATATACAGAACATAACTCTCCAATTTTAGTCTCCAAGTACACGTAAAGCAAGTTTACTGAAATTATCACGAACAACAAACTAATTTCACAAAATTTAAGAGCAAAACCTGTTTCTTCTTGCGAGCCAAATTCCAAATCCTCCAACACATATTTTCCAATCTTGTGTTCCTCTCCTCCGAATTCCTAATAGCCGAAGCCTGCAAGTATATCCAATATGAAAAATTCTAAAGATACATAAAATTCATACAAAAAACTTGACAAAAATGATGTGGCAATGCCATCTTTTGTTTTGAAGTGAAAAGCCACAATGAGCCACATCATAAAAAAAACTTTACAAGAATGATATGGCAATATCATTATTGTAATTAAATTTATCTTCAATGGTATTTCGTTTTGAAGTGGTATTTATTTTAAAGTGAAAGGTCTACAAGGAACCACGTCATGAAAAAAAAACTTGACAAAAATGATGTGAGAATACCATTATTATAAATAATTTATCTTCATTGATAAAAATGATGTGACAATACTATTCACTGTGTTTGGTTTAAGTTTTTTGAGTTAAGTTTTTTGAAAATTGAGTTTTTTGGTTTGTGTTTTTTTGTTTTTAGTGAAGATTTTTAAAATTTTAAATATTTTTTTTACTTTTTTAAATGCACGTCACTTAGATGTATCTAAAAAGTAAAAAATTTGTGAAAAAATAATTTTAAAAATTAATAAATACATAAAAATACAAAAAATGTATTGAATTCTCGTATTTTTTTTTTGTATTTTTGGTATTTAGTGAATATTTAAAAGGTTTTTTTCAATTTTTTTTTTACTTTTTAGGTATATTTATGTTAGATATGTTTAAAAATTAAAAAAATTGCTCAAAACATTAAAAAAATTCAATAAAAACAAAAAAACACGAAAAATGAAAAAGTAGAATTTTCTGAAAAATGTTTTTAAAAACTGGTAACCAAGCATAGTGATTTATTGTAAATAAATTTATTCTCATTTGGAAGTAAAAGGTCCCAATGAGCCACATCATAAAAACTATTTTTTGACAAGAATGATATGATAAATATTATTATTTTAAATAGGGCTTTGATAGAGACCGTCTCTAATCACCACTCCACCACCCCACGCACATGTGACGGGTGGTGATTGGAGGAGAAGGAAAAAATAAAAAAAAGAAAAGAAAATCTGTCCAATCAGATCAAGAGGGAGTCAAGGGAGTGGGGAAAAAAGGGGTCTGGGATTTTTCCTTATAAATAAATTCATCTTCATTTGAAAGTGGAAGGTATATAATGCGCCACATCATAATTATGTATGATTTTTTTTTTTTTTTGGGTAGAATTACTCATCGAGACGTGTACTGATTGAGCTTTGTTTTTCATTAAATTACTGATCGAAAATATACGTCAAAGTACCATTCATAATGAAATCAAAACATTTTTTTAGATCTTTTTTCACTCATTGAAATTGCTTTCAAGTTGAAAAACGATCAATCAGAAATCAGAACATCACATCAAAGTCAAACTTTTCTGGAATATATAAGCGAAAATGAGGGGAAAAAATCATACGCATAAGCAAAAATTTGAAGCGTGAGATTGAAATACGTACTCGAACCCAAGAGCGATGAAGATCGGTCTCATCGAAACCCGTGATGACTTCCTCAACGAAGTAGCGAGTGGGACTGAAACGGCCTCGCTCTCTCAACAACAAGGACGATTTCGGATCGTCCAGTGGTGGACCTACGTCCAAGATCGCTTCTAGGTAACTGTTTATCCAATCGTTTCCCGCCATTGCCGACTTTCACCGAGCTCTGAGTTTTTCGGAGACAGAGAGAGTAACAGTGATTCATCTATTACTTGTATGTAAATGTGCGAGATCAAAGATAGTGCATATATGTATCTGCATATATATATATATATATATAGAGAGAGAGAGATCTCGACAGGTGCCGAATGCAGAGATGGTTAGAGAGAGAGAGAAGAGAATGTGTCAGTTATGCGCGCCCAGTTTCCGGTAATTGCCTTTTGGTTTAACAATAACAATAAGAAACGTGTCAAAGAGGAAATAAAGATGATGATTGAAAGAGAGAGAGAGAGAGAGAGAGAGAGGGAGGGATTTGGGGGCACCGCTTCAGTTTTGTTTTGATGTTATGAATGGTTTATTTTGTATAATTTAGGTCGAGTTTGACTAATTTAAAAAAGTACATTTATTTTATTTTTTTATCTTTTTTAAGTCACATCAATTAATTTTTTTTTTTTATTTTTTTTACATATAATACAAAAAAGTCAAAAAATATACTTATTTAATTTTTCTAAACTTGACCTAAATGTATACTCGACATATGTGGAATTTAAATAAATAAATAAAAATAAAAATAAAACAAAATACTTATAATTTATTGTTTGTTAATTAAGTGATAAGACTTTTTTTTTTATTTGAAATAAATTCGATGTTCCAGTCATTCCTCTCATCTATTTAATTCATTCCTCTCATCTATTTAATTCTTTTTTATTTTAAATAAAAAAATTAGACACCTTGTAGCATAAGAAATTAAAATTTCAAAATACATAAAGGTCATGTTTGATTCACAACACTAATAGCACAGTATTAATAATCCTATTAAATTAGTGTGGTATTCATTATCCAATTGGATTAATATCCATTGGATTAATAATTCCACCCCTACCCCATTACTAATAATCATACAAATTTGTTGGATTAATTATCCATTAGATTAATAATCCTAAACCAAAATATTAAAACAAATATAGGATAATTGAGCCCACGGATTAATAATCTCAATCCCATACTTTAATCCACTCAATCAAACATGCCAAAATGGTGTTCACCTTATATGTAATATAAAAATGTTAAAGATCTTAAAAATTTTATCAAAAATTTCACCACCTATCTCACATGGATATGAGACCCATATTGTGTGGTAGGAGTGAGCATGGACCGGATTGGGGTAAAACCAGGACCAATCCGTTATCTACGGTTCCTGAAAAATTAGAACCAATCCAATCCGTTTAAATCATGGAACCAATCCATTTAAATACGGATTGGATTGATTTAGGACCACGGATTCATATAATTAAATAATAATAATAAAAAATATATATATAACACTTTAACTTCATAAAAACATAAACATAGCGCTATGTTAGTTCTACAATAGCAACATGTCTTTTTATAATTGCGACATATCGTTCTAGAATTTAAACAACTATAAGAAAACTGATTTCACCATAAGTATTTAGACCATTACAAATTAAAACTAAAAACTAAAAAACAAAAGTAATAAAAGAAGATATTATACGAGGTTTAGGTTTGAGTTTAGATTTTATATAGAATAAGAGAAGATACTATGGGGGAGGATGTATAATAAAAATATAGACTATTTGTATACGGTCCGGATCGGTTCCAATCCGGAACCGTGAGGTTCAATCCGGAACCAATCCGTGGACTACGGATTTTTAATTCTTCAATCCGGAACCGAACCACGGATTCGAAAAACCAATCCAAACCTATCGGATTGGACTGGACTGGATCGGATTACGGATTTTACGGATTTCTTGCTCAGCCCTAATTTTGACAATAGATTGTCAAATTTTTTTTAAAAATAAATGATAAAATCATGTAGAAATGATTATTGAATGAGTAACTTTTTCATTGGATGATTTACACACGAACCTTAAAAATGAACGAAACAGATCATCGAAACGACGCATGTAATGGGCTCCACAAATTGAAGTGGACTGCCCAGTCAAATAGAGAATCTTACTCCTATTGAATATGTTGATCTTAACATTTGAATGCATTTGGTTTCAATAATCTTATTTTCATTAATTCCACATAATGCAGAAGCTAGAACAAGTTGCAATAAGCCTTTATTTAATTGAAGCAATACATTTCCTTTAAAGAAATGTCATGGATGTCTAATCAACAAGGGTAAGAGCAATGACATTTTTGATCATCAGCTCTACAAGTCCCAGAAGCGTTTTGTCCACGAACACCCTTACAAGCAAAGTTGCAATAAAAATTGTCACATGGTGGTGCTGATTGGAAATTTAGAATAATATCACAAATTTTGCCTGCCTTCACGTCATTCCCTACATCGATTCGAAATGAAGCGAGAAAAAACAAATAAAAGGTTAAAAAGATCATACTTTAAAACATCTAATAATTAATGATATTAACTGAGAAAGGGAAAGTATTAAATTTTTAAATATTAAAGGTTGGTTTGGCATAACCTATATAATCCATCTTTTATCTTTTTTTTCATTACATCACCTCTCTACTTTTCTGCACATCTTTTCGTAAAAAGACAAAAAGTGCACTTTTTTAGGATACCCCAAACCAACCCTTAAGTTTCTCTATGATTCTAAATGACAAAAACAAAAATCTCACAGTTGTACAAAACTAAGGCACACAAACGTATGTTTGATGGAAATAAACCATTTTTCAGAAAATAATAGTGGATCAATTGTTAGAAGTTTTTATCTAGCATATATGGCACGATAGAACTACACATAACCAATGAATATTCAGGGTGAAGTCTCGAATACTCTCGTGAACGAAAGAATTTCAAAAAAAAAAA